TTTCTTTCAGTGGTATAAGTTGGTGACAAAATCCACAAGTGGAGAGTTGAGCAGAGTTTATGGGGCTCTTAAATAATTGCCCAAGAGATCGCGTAATTGCAGAATTAATAAAGAAAAGCCGGATGATAAGGCCCTTCAAAGGCTTAATTAAGTTACTTAGGAAAAATACAGTCAATTTCTCCTCCATCCTGTATTCCCAAGGGAATCCATATTCAACACAGGTATTTCCTAATTTGATTTCTCCTACTTAGCCAAACTGCAATTCCTCGGTGAAGAGGTCTTCCTAAAAGGTCCTCCTGGCTCGTCCAGGAAGGATCTTCTCGGCCTTTCCTCAGTCTTGATTCAATTAAGCGAGTACACACAGCAAAATGCTCTTTTCTTATTCCCCCCTCTGTGGTTGTTAATGGCAGCGCAAACATGCCGTTTGTTTGTGCCATTCCGTAGATGTAATTGGGTAGTGAGGAATCACAGTTTGGATGCATTTCACTGGTTACCGAGTAGCGTGTCGCTGCAGCGCCCCAGCCAATTTCCACCATCCCCGGCCCGGCTGGGGTTTTTTTTTTTGTTCTCGCGCGCGTGCGGTTGAGCACAAAACATGGCGGGAGTTGCCAAGCTACGTGTCAAGAAGCGCGCCAAACCTGCGCAGCCAAAATTTCATCAAGTGAATAGTTTGGCTTCCTTGAAGACACACAGGATTTAATCACCGATTCATCAAAGTCAACCTGGCCTGCTATATTGCTGCCAAGCAAGCGAGCAATAGGGCCCTACGATTCAATTTGCTGTCCACCTAGCTCTATACGAGTCGATGGGCTTTGGAGTCCAGCTTAATGAACTGTAATATGAAATTGATGAACTGACAAAAGATTGATCTCCATGTAATCACATCGGACTGGACTAACTCACGGACAAGCTTTTGGTCACTGCCTGTTTACAGCCGCGTGGGGCAAGCAGTTGCGGACCTACGGAGGGGGAGGGTTAAGGGGTGTAAACACCACTTTGAGCTGCAAAACATTTTTTAAAAATCAGCAAAAAAAAGGACACATGCCTAACCCCACTCCCACCCGGACAGATGTACCCCTCCCCCGTGCCAAAGCTGGACCCACCCTGGCAAGTATTAAATGAGTCTGAGACACGATACTATGTCCAAATACCATTTTGTTGTCGAGTACCTGGACGTAGCGTCGTAGCGAGTGTAGGACCAATCTATCCGATCTTCAAAGTCAGATGGTACGCGCTAATCGCAATATAATTGGAGGGTATAAAAGCCTATGATTTCCAAATAGACGTATAAGCTTATGCAGACTGCGAGTACGGTTAACTATTTGAGTTACCACTTCTTGCGTAAATTATGTTCAACTTCGAAGACTCTTACTAGAAACCATGTACCATTCCTTGACTTATTCGAGAATACGCCTGTCACAACAAAGTACTATACCCCCAATTACAACTTCATGCAATTGGTAACTTTTTAAAACTATGCGCATTTATATTGCCACTTGTTACCCTTCCTATTACGTCACGTTCGATGACGCACGAGTAGATTTAAATGATGTATTTTTGCATCATTATGGCGGTTAAGTAATTGATGTTAATTGATTGGATGTGATTGACTTGGAAGTAGAGAGGTCATTAAGTTTCGCCCTGTCGTTGGACGTCAACAGTGACGCAAACTCTCACACATGTAATTAACAGATTACATTAACATGTAATTAACAGATTACATTAACATGTAATTAACATATTCTTGTTAATTAGAACCTATAACATTAGTTTTGAACAAGGGTGTAACCAAATACCAAGAAGATTCCCATAGCCCATAGAATACAAATAGACCTTATACGTAGCGGCCATTTTAGAGGCATATATATCTTAATTTGGGCTCGAATCCCACCCGAGTGATTCTTTCCAACTTTCACCCGGGAGGTAACACACTGAGTATACAGTGTTTATACGTCGGTGACGGGCAAAACCTAATTTGATTTACATCACCCCGACGCAAATTCCATCTTATTAATATCTTAATTCTGTAACAATGAATGCACACAATATTCACTCATGCAATTGGATTTTACTGGATCGTAGGGATTCAAGACGTCTGGCTCGAGCAAGAAAAGTCGTAGGCCTGTTTGGATAAGTTAACTCAAACCACACATTCAGCCTCACATCTTAAGTTCAAACTGGAAGGTATTTATATTAAATATAAAAGTCCATACGATGAATTTTCCTTAGAAACACATTTTTTGCACCTTTCTACTCCTCTTACATGTGTGAAAACTATTTGGCATCCCTTTGAGGTTAATTTTATTGAAAAGTGCACTTTTTTAACATTTTAACAATTTCCATGCTTTTCCGGACAACTGAGGGTGCTGTTGCTGTGATGTCATTTCAGGAAGACACTGTTCATCAGTGTAGGGGTTTTCTGTTCATTGTGAAACCAAAACGTTCTCAATGAAACTATTTGTGAGAAACGTTTGCTCATTGGCTTACTGCCAAGTACTGACAAAACAACGAATCACCAAAGAAAAGAAACATTATGACAGCAAAGTATCCAAAATTGTAGCAAGTTTGCGCTGAAATAGCTGTCACATTGAGGTTTCTGCCCAAAATGACATCACAGTTTTGCTCATGAATATGGAAATTCGCATTTGCATAAAAATTAAAAAGGCACCAAAATACCCTTCAAAATGGCAAAATGAAGATTACAAATAAGGTTAAATGGGACACAGAGGTGAATTTTCAAGGATAGCATTAAACAAATTACATTGCATGGGCTCATTAAATTGTGCCTTTGTTGTCTTTTTAATCACCCTTCACATCTTTTTCTAGTAAAGAGTTTATCTGTAACCTACTTTTCGCTGTAAACTTTAACCGCTGTATACCCGTTTTTCTTCAATTATGAGCTTGAGTATCCACCAATTCATCTTCTGTGCTTCTATCTCCCCACCTGCCATTTACAGTGTACGATCCATCACTACTTTACCCATGTCTTAAATGGAGACCAACTGACCCCAAGTCAGTTTGTTTTTCAGATGAAAAATGGTATTAAATAAAAAGAAACCATCAGTATAAGTGATAAATTTGTTTTACCAAACCGACAACTTGGCATCCCTCTCAATGACATTTCCTATCTGCAATGAAGTGTTCCTGTGACCAAAGTCCCTGCCAGCCCCGCCGATGGTGAGGAATGGTTCCCGCTCGAGAAATGCTCGTTGACATGACCCTACGGACGAGTTGCGGAATAGGACGGCACGAAGTGCCAGCTACAGTGCCTAGGGCGCTTTTGAGGATCTAGGAATCCTAGGTTTCATTACCAGATAATGATTAATAATTCTATACGTGCAATGGTTTTCTTAAATTCAATTTTTGGTCTCTTTTTGATTCTTTATTGTATTGTTCGAATTATGTTTAAAAAATATGTTATGCATTTTAAAGTAATTAGTCAAATAAAGTTATATATTGCATTATTTAGTTATTGAACTATTTCTTCACAAAAAGCGAATAAGTTGCTGCCAGACAATAATTCAGCTCTCGCAGGACGGGCTCATTAATTTTTGTGCGCAAAATGAAAGTCCTTTTTCAGAGAGTTGCAGACGCCAGAAATGGGACTCTGTTATACTTAAGAAGATTAAAATATGCTAATCGATCGATTCGATTGAGATAAAGAAAAATGTCCTAGATTCGGTCGGAAAGTGAATTTTCTGTCTGGGGAAAAAAACATGATCTTCATCTCCTCCGCCTTGGGTGTAATACATGAAAAAGCCCACCAGCCAACCTCTCAAAGCCACACGTCAGCTGACAGTTAGCGCTGGCGTTTTGTGTATAGCTGAATATGGGTGATAACTGCCTGGTCGATAAGCTTCTTAATTATGATTATAATTAAGAAAAAAGCCTTTAATGTTGCTCGAATCGTCTGTTCTTCTTATCACGGTGTGTTGACAGGAATCGTGTTATTTTTGTTAGGAGTTGCCTTAAATTGTCGGCATTTCTAATGAGTTATAGCACCGCATAAATTGTGTCAAGAAGTCACAACGTTGAATGAACAGTCTTTCGGTCAATGGCTTTCTCTATTACGAAACGGATTTCCATCGGGAATATTGTCCCTGTGTGATTCTCGAGGTGAAAGTTCGCCATGAATAATATGAATAGTAATCCTTGTTTTTTTTATACTTCGTATTTCATCAGTTCATAATAACGTAGCATGATTCATAATCAGGTTCTCGGTCCCACAGCCAAGTGCAAAGTCCTCGTCATGATCCCAAGTAGGCCAATACGTCATCGTTTGAACATGGATTATTGAGATTTATTCAGATCATTCGGTGGGGCTCAATGTGGGTAAATTAATATTAACTTCCATGTTCTGAAGTGAAGGGAACTATATTTGGCGCACCGCTCAGTCCTCTGCGTTTACACGATTGGACGTCTTTGTGCCTGGCGCACATACTGCGTATAGAAATAGCTCCACCTACGATCACGAATGCGCTCGCACCCTCCATATCCCAGACTGAGAACGGCGTGGCTAGGGTTTTCACCATGGGGGGGGGGGGGGGGTAAGTGGACTCGATGATAAGAGGGGGGAAGGGGGCAACCCGTTTCTGTTAAACCCGTTAACCATACTCACTTACATATACATTTGATTAACATATTTAACCGCGTAACTTTTGTTTTACGTTGGAGTTTAGAGAAAGGGCCCTTCACTAAGTTCACTACAGAAATATACATATTTGTACCGATGAATGAAAACGACTTCATTGATCAATGTATATAATAATATTCATTGCTTCATAAATTAAATCATTATCATTAGACAAGCCAGCAGTTCAAACAAATCCATCGCAGTCCAGACATTATTTACATGCGTCGTTAAAGCTCGTAATTTTTATTTCTACTTAAGCTTTTTCACAAACAGAACCGGCCCATAATTAATTTAAAATTATAACTATTGTATTACAAATCAATCTGAATATTTATATCATTTTAATTGATAAGTAAAAGAACAACATTTAAACACAAAAATTACATTCGCATAATTCAGGCGTATATTTTACACTATATAAATAGAAAGCTACAGAAAAAAACTTTCTACAATACATTTTATAATTATGTGCAATGATTTTCTTCAATAAATTCGTATATTCATATAGTTCTATATTTTATAATAATTATGCTCAAAATACTATCGGTAATGCATGTTATCGTAATTAGTCAAATAAACTTATGTATTGCATGATCCACACTTTTCGATAAATAATACTCGAGTTACTGTTACACAAAATTCCATTACAGAGCCTGTTTTTTTCTCTTCAAAAAAAGACAAACTTTCTATATCATATCACTCCACTATATGATCTGTCAGTTACACATATCCTAGATTTGCTACAATTTGTTTTCGCTTCAACAAACATTAATCGCTAAATTGTCTGAGCGATTGTCACATTCTCTGAATGACACTGTCACTTGTGCTTAGGCCTAATTTTCCCCAAAATAGGTTTAGCGCCCTCCAGCGGTAAATTTCGGTGCCAAAGATTGTTTGACCGGATGAATATTGACCCTAATGATGCCTGTAATTAACACGAAGGCATTCATTTGAATTTCAAAAAAATTACCAAATTATGCCCAAAATAGGTTTAATCCGGAAAAGTATTATCTGTATATAAAGCGCCCTCTTGTGGACACTGCAGCGCAACCAAATGACGTCATGTTATAGATGTTTAGCTGATCAACATTTCTGGCAAATTCTAGGAAAATCGGCAGAAGCAGATTATGAATATTCGATCCTGATATTGTTAATCTGACGCTGACTGAATATCAAATTGGTCGTCTTTGAAACTCCTTCCAAAAGTCGCTGATACGCAGTTCAACGTAAATGGATGATAAAAGCGCACGCGAACCAGCGAGTGCTATCATTAATGTCTGGTTCCTTCTTCCTTTCAAACTCTTGTATATGATAACAAGATCAGGAACCCGCCTGCTACGCCGTCGTTAAGCTACACAGCGCATCTTCACACATATCTCTAAAAGTGACCTACATTTAACTTGTAATTTATTTATGTATTTCGAAGGTTGCAGAGCCAATTGGTCCGTGTGCAGTAATAAAGTTTTATTGCTGTTCGACGTTCGTGAGCTTACAATTTCTTTTCCAATTTTACGCTTCTAATTTTAGCCCTATCTGCTTCTTCCATGACCCCCCCCCCCCCTTTCTCCCATCCCACGCATCACTACCATCATATACAATCTCCTCATCAATCACAGGTCGCGGCCCAGCCTCTCTGTTTCGTCCAGCAAGAAGTCCACATCCGCTTTGGTGGCTGCCGGGTTAGAGAAGACCATCCGGAAGAAGTTGACTTTGTCTCCCAGTGGCTGGTAACCGACCATCAGTGTACCAGTGGCCATCATGCGGGCTTTGATGGCCGGTGCGACCTGTCGGTACACGGGGGATGAAAGGAGGAGGAAGTGCTCGGTAAGTGGTAATTAATTCATCAATCATTGATCAGGTGGAAACTTGTCGACTGCCTAGCAACTATACCTGCGCAAGAGATAGCTGAATTATGAGCTACTGAATGGGGTGTCGAAAGTATGCCAAAGTGGCAATAATTCCATGCCAACCAAAATACAATGTAGTGCTAATGTTATCAGGTAGAAACCTGTCGACTGCCAAGCAACTACCTAGTAAGAGGTAGCTTGTGAACTACCAAATTGGGTGTCGAAAGTATCTTGTGAGCTTCCAAATGGGGTGTCGAAAGTATACCAAACTGGCGACTATTTGAAGCCTACAAAATGGTGCTAGTTTTATTTCAATGTTACTGTTCTAGCGATATGGACACAGACATTTAACTTGTTGATCTCACGGTGTTTCATTTCAAAATCGCTCAGATTTGGTAGCACACGGAGCTCACGAAAAGGAATAAAAAGGATTAGATTGAGAATCGTGTATAAATAATGAATAATGTGCAATAGTTCGCTAGCTTGTTGATTTCTCAGACGCAACACCTTGACCAACTTACAGTGAACCGGGAATCATAACCTCCATCACAAAATAAGATCGAGCCAGGGAATCAAAAAACCCACGGTGCCAATATGGGGGCTGAATAAATAAACAAAGCACTCGTGCGGATGTCTCCTGGCTTTCAATTGGAAAGAAACGAACATTTCAGTGACGTGACAAAACACGCCAAGTACTAGTAAGGCTGTTATTTCAAGTCGTCCGTTCTTAATTTGGAAAGAACGTGCTCCAATTTTTGTACTATGCAATATTTTATTTCTCATCTCAGTCGGGCTGAAACGTTTTAAACTTGGGAGGAAAAACAATTTCAAGCAAATTGTCTTAATTTTTTTAAGCATTTTCAAATTCTTTTAAGCGGACAGATTTCACATGACTTGATAACGTTTTTTCCTTTTAAGTCAGATTATTCTCAAATTGTTCGGTCCTTTTTTTTTTTTTTTGGCTGCTAATAACCTCTTCGCCACGTCTGACATCAGGTTGTCGTTTGATTGCAATATGTAAAAACAAAAGATCCTCTGCTATAAATTACCAAAGTCGCGTATAGTCAGCGGCAATTCCCGGTTTCTTTCGAGGGTAAATATTCCCTAAAGGACCGATGGTATATTGAGTTCGGCTCGCCCGCTGGCTAAGCGATCCCGGAGCTGACCGACCTCAGACAAACACCATTGATCACTGCAGGTTGGCACTAGTGTTTGCAGAGGCTCCATTTTGGGAAACGGACGCGGCATTTGCGATGTTCATCCGCTGAAGGAAACCCTTGGATATCGTGACATTGGGTACATGCATTAGCGAGGGGTGAGAGCTTTTGTCTGGAGGATAAAATATCTAGGTCAGTCCACTTAAGTGGAAAATTCATTTTAACGGTGAGCTCTGGTCTAAGGCACTTTGCCAGCCGCACATTTGAACACGTTCGATTTGTTTCAGCATTCTGTCATTTGTTTCCTATTACTTAAAAAGCTTAATTCTTTAAGGCTCCAATTGCTAACTAACTAATTTAATTTAGTGGCCAGTTGCAAAAGTCATCTGACGATAACGTGACGATCGATTGCAGGCAAGGGCTCTTTAGTGGCTGATGTACCTCGCAAAAGTTAAGGTTCTTGGAAGGACACATATTTTACAATTATATCCCTGTAACACTTTCCCATAATGAAGCACACAAAAGGACAATCGAGGACCGTTTTTAACGAAAGATGGACGTTGAGGACAGCAAAGAATCTATTGTTCTCCTTTTGTCTGTCTGTCCTCCGAGTGGATGTAGTGCACGCACACACAGACTTAACTTCGAGGACCGTTTTCAACGAAAGATGGACGTTCGAGGACATCAAATAATATGTTATTCTCTCTCTACGTAACTGTCCTCGGAATGTATGTAATACCAGGGAGACTGCGTTGTTAATTAAAGGACGCTTTGAGGGTTCGGGATTTTTTAGACACCCCTGTACATGTGCTCTCAATCTCAGCCGTCCATCTAGTAAATGTCTTTATTTCATATGTTTGTCCGTCCCTCTGTTTGTCTATACCTTGTGAAGTAGAAGCTGTTTCTCCGTTCCTTCCTCCATGGCCCTTAGACTGGGCGGTATATACCAGTAGCACACATTAGTGTGTTCAGGCTGAAAACACAAACGAGACGGGGAATCAGCCAATGAGAGTGATTGTGCCTTACACGACGCAAAGTACCAAATTCCTCAAAAGAGACTTCGTACCAAACTAACAGTGGTGGTGAACTTATATGACAATTCAGCATGACACTTGATGAAGAATTTCAAAAAAAAATAATAATAATCTTTATCATCAATGACATTTGAATAAATTAATCAATTTCGATCAATCAATGTGCTCCACTCATTACCCCTGTCCTGTCCGCAGGTTCTATACTCCTTTCCTTAACTTCAAAGCTAGCTACAGAGAGTTAAATACACAAGGTCGACGATCGTGCGGTTAAGGAAAGGACCCTTGGTGTAACAAGTGGACTGACATTGGGTTCAGCCCCTCTTATCTTCCTCTGCCTCATGAAATAAAATGGGGAAAAATCAGGGCCATATCTTGTAAGCTTAACACCCCCTCCCAAGAAAAAAATCCATCACTATCTGGCCACACCATGGACAGAGAATCAATTGCAGCCATATCCAATCACCTTCTCATGCACCAGCTTGAAGCCTTCCCTCGACTTCAGTTTTTCCAGCAGATATCTATGATTGGAGAAAGAGAACGAAATCAGTGACTTTCACCAACCCACTTTTGATGCGAAAACTGACCAAGTCAGGGCCCAATGACGCAGCCAGCGGGGGTGCAGAGTGGCAGAAACAAAATCGGGACGCTGATAGAAGCAAAATTGGGACAGTGAAAATGGGCTAAACGGGACGAACATTCTATTTTGCATGCAACTGGCAAACAAAACCCTGGCTGCTTAATGGGTCAGGCAGCTGCAAATACATTCCATGTCGCCCTTTTGACAGAGTAAACATTGGAAAGTACGAATGTAGCTATTTTTATGCCACAGTCCCCTCCAAACGATCGTCGTGGTTTGAGGGCAGATGCAATTACAGCCCTTGTTTTACATCTTCGATTGTGTGTGTAATTTAAAGCCACTAGTTCTTCGGCGCCTTTGTTGTTTGTAGTTATTAGTTATACTTTCCGTTAAAAGTTATATACTTTCCTGGCTCCGGAAATTAAACGAAATTATGCAAACGAGAAAGCAAAAACGATAGAAATACCGTTAGTCGTTGAAGCAACTTACACGTTTATACAGCCATGGGCGACGAGCTGTAACGGGTACGTGTAATTGAATTTTGCATCGAAGAGATGTATATGGTTTTTTAAGACACACTTCCCGATCATTTTCGGGTACATATAAGTGTTTATTCGTGCAATAATATTGTACTAACAATGAACTGTATAGCTTACTTACCCGGCTAGCTCGAAGAGTTTATTGACGTGATTCTCGAAGCCTCGTGTTCCCTGGAAGAAGAACAGATCGATATAAAATGGATTATGTGAACTGAGGGAGAAGAAGGTAAAAGGAGTTCGTTACGATTTGGAATGGCGAGTTTGCACAGGCTGTTAAATTTTATTAACTGATTAGGCCTACCTTTCAAAAAAAAAAATTCTTGTTTTCTGTATTTAAACACTTCGTAAAAATAGGATGTGGCGTTTTTTTAAACCAGAGGGATGGTCCGAACACGAGGCGAGGCTACATTGTGTTGTCTGGAGTGAAAAAAGTCCGACATAATTGCTGTGAGTAGTCCATATTTTGAACGAAAAAAACCCAAAAATAACATCGGTACAGTGCCCTCAATCGACCATAAAAATGTCAAGGTAACGTGCAATAATTAATGGCTGCCGTTTACCTTGGCCCGCCACATGAGCCAGAATTTGAACACGTCCACGTGCCTGCCGCACTGCATGGTCTTATCACCCGTGTCGTAGGATACATCGTAATGCTTGTCCTGCTGGAACAAGTAGGGCGCCCTCATCGAGTTGCAGTCCTCTAAAATTCCCTAAAAGGAAAAGAAAGAAAGAAAGACTTAAAATTACTGTACATCAAAGGGTAGGCTACCTTGTTTGTGTATAGCTCAAGTTTTGTTCATTTCTGCGTAATAAAAAAGTAAACACCTCATCATTATAAAAAAAAACCTGTTTTCGTGGCGTGTACTATTCTATTTACGACAGCGTTTGGCTGCTCATTACTCCCACAATTCTCTGCGATTTTCTTAGCTGATCAGAGATTACTTAAACATACAAACAACACCTCTACTACAACGGTTCTATCTTACTCATCATTTGGGCTTTAAACAATATAACCTTCTTCTATTTCTTACGTCCTCCTTGATCAGAATAGCCGAGCATTGGAGCAACACACCCATGAGTTTGTGAGGATTCCACGTCACGGAATCGGCCCTGTAAGAAGTAGACAAAAAAAACAGAAAAATAAATTTGGTATATACATGATCTTTGATTCAAGAGGATTTTTAGAATTGTTTCAGACAACATTACATCATGGTGAAGGCAAGAACAATACCAAGATTTGAGTGGAGCATCCCCTTGGCAGAAAATTACCAGTCAGATGAGTCCTACCCCCATTTTGTGCACTCGTTCCCGTCAGAGTTAAAGAGAATCCAAGGATGACTATAAGTATTTCGCACTTCGGTTTTTTTATGCCATATTTTCAATCTCGATCCCACCTGCGTTGCCTCACCTATGGATGCCGTCCAGTTTATGTCTGTGCTTCCTGGACATGAGGACACCTCCACCCCACGCTCCCTGCAAACAACAAAATGTTGATTCTGTTTTTGATGCGGGGTTTGGCAAGTGGCGTAACTACGGGGGAGACCACGGGAAAGGGGGCACGTGCCCCCAGCGGATGTCCGTGCCTCCCGGGTGCCCCCCCCCCCTATTTTAAATCTTGAACCGAACAGAATTAACAAAACGTTTTGCCTTCAGTGCCCCCCCCCTTGATAAATTGTGCACCCCTATAGGTGCCCCTTAAAATTTTAACCATACTCACGCCGCTGGTTTGGGCATATTAATACTCAGTAAGATATTACGAATGCCGTTTGCCATCTGGCGGATATCAGTGCATGTACGTGGTAGATCATTGTTTCGACCAAGATTTTAAATTATGGAAAGCGCCCCCAATTTTCTCGCATAACCAAAAAACCAAACTGGAAGCAATACCACCAACTTTTTGTCATCGATTGTACATTGTACAATCGATGACAAAAAGTTGGTGGTATTGCTTCCAGTTTGGTTTTTTGGTTTTGCGAGAAAACTGAGGGCGCTTTCCATAAGCCTCACGCAACAGCATTTCAAGGGTGCAAAACCGTAAGAAAACAATCAGTTAAAATTGACGATGCATGCATTGATAGATCCTAGCATTTTGTGACGTTCGTTTTCGATATGAACCAAACTGCAACTAGTGTCCTGGGACTTAATTATTGTTTTGGCAGTCCGCATTTGAGAGAGGGCGCCATATACTCACATCGACATGCATCCACAAGTCGTATTTCTCGCATATATCGGCCACGGCGTTGAGCGGATCGAATGCACCTAGTACAGTAGTACCTGCAGTCGCGTTGACGAAAAATGGTTTATCGCCCTAAAACAAAAAGCAGATAGTACACTCAAAATTCAAAGATATGAACGTATTGAAAATTAACACTCGAAAATGAAATCGTTTTTGGTTTTCTTTTAACAAAAACCTCCTGTTTTGCCTCCATCTTCCAAAGGTAAAGATGAGATTATGAAACTTGAGAAAGCACGTCTTTTTTAAAATAAGAAGTTTTGATCCTCGTTTTCCTGTAATGCAAACCAATACAATGTTTTCTTTTGAATTTAAGCGTTACGCAACAATTTTTGGATACATTTGACACGACGTTTTGAACCAAAAACTAACCCGAGATAAATAACTAAAAATATCCTTTTCGACATTTTCTCTTATTTTTTTCTGATAGTTTCATACTCACCCTTGCAATTGCTTGCTGTATCTTGTTCTCTAAATCTTCTAGGCTCATCTTGCCTCTATATTTGACAAAATGTGAACGTGGATATAATTGGGAGATCCCCGATTCGTTAATCGTGTCATCTTTGTTTGCAGAAAAATAGATTGAGTCCGTGATTTCATTGTGAAGCTAGCTACATTTTGAATTGGAATCCCGTTTGTTATTTGAAGCACACCGTTCGACAATCTTTTCCCACTGTGTATTTAACATTCCATTGCAATCATCAATGTACAAGACTACGAGTCCACCTCCTCCTTCCCCCACCCCCCACCCCCAAAAAAGAATCTTCCTCAGTTAACCAAGAAACTGTTTAGCGCCCTTTTTTGGTACTCAGACTTCAATGAAATTGTAGATAATTACCTTTTGTCTGTGTCGATGTAGACGACATTGTCGGTTCCAATGCCAAGGATTGCAGCTGCTCTTCTCAGCGAAAAGTGACTCTGTGTGTTATGTGTTTAAAACAAAATCACCCAGGAATTAATGGTTATTTTTTATGTAACTTTGACATAGTAGATGTTCTTTTTAATACATGTTTAACATTCCATTTTTCTCTCTCATTCAAAAACAGATGGGAAAAATATTCCCCAAAGCGTCCGCAAACTAATAGGTCATCGCCCTGGTAAACAAGTAGTGGAAATTGTTTTCCCAATCCCCTGTACTTCAAACACGCTTTTTATAGTGATGTTTCCAATGATAGTCGTACACACACACAAAAGGAAGTCTGGCAGCATGTTAAATGTTTATTTTAGGAAGATCTAAGGCATGGAGAAAAACAATAATAAAATGATAATTTCATCCGAAAAAAAACCTGGCGAGTTTTGAGACAAAACTGAGTTCCACCGTTACACCGCCCCCTGGCCCCTCGAACCCACACATCAGCAGACAGTCTGTGCTGACGTTTTGCGTGTTGGTTCGAGAAGCAACTGTCCGTTAGGGGATCTGTAACGATAGCCCTCAGCTTAAATTATAAGGAAAAAAGTTGTCTTTTATGTTGTCTAAATTTTCAGGTTTTCCTATCACGTTGTGGCCGGAACTATGTTGTTAGATGTTAGAAATGGACTCGAATTGTTGGCTTTTATCATATATTTTTAATGGGTGTAGGACCTACAATAAATCTGTGTCGAAGAATGAGAACTACTACTGAGCAGTCACTCCAAGAATCGCCAAACCGAGTAAAAAATGAAGTATTATATCGAGAAATGTTGCCAGCAAAATTGCCAGCAAAATATGACGCTTGTGCGGGTCAAAGTGAATACATGAATAGTAAACAACCATTATTTGCTGATCTAGTCTTTTGTCAAGGTCTACTGCGTAGAACTCGGGACGGAATAGCGATCTCGTGAAAAGAGATCAAAGCCAAATGAATTATGTTTCCATACTGTTGTTACCAATGATCCGATTTAACTTCATTGAAAGCTATTACGGTGGGGACTTGTTGATTCTCGTTGTAGTTAAATGTAACTTATTAGTTTGTGATTTGGTGATTTAAAAAGTGTTAATTCAGCTAGTACATGTATTTAATTATGAAAGGTGGTAAAGACCCAGTGCAAGCTTCCGCTTACCGTTCAACCCCCATACTATTTATTCTGCTGTGTAGTATATTTCCTTTTGTTTTAAAACAGTCATTGTAATGATGTCAATAATCACACTTGAACTTGGACATGAATCAAGACTATAACTCTCTCGGCTCCGCCTTCCACTATTGTGTGGTTAAATATAGCCTCTCGCAGAGCTGGTTGCACAGCCTTGACGTACACAGGGTCGTCCATAGTCCATGCTTTGCAGTCACACTCAAAAAGCAACGTTTTAAAGGGGCTATTTTTCTATTTTTCAACTGTTGCTCCAAATTTACCATGTTTTCAGTCCAAATTTTGTTTGCTATTGGTTACATGTTCATGAACGGGTGCAGGCCAGCTAGACTGGTTCCCATACCTTACAATATTCCGGCATCTATAAATTGATCCATTTCATCTTTAGTGGAGTCAGGGAACCAGACTTCTTGAACATTTTTGTTTTTCTTGGTTTTTCCAGCATTTTCTAACACAAAACTTCAAACATGTTTGTGTAACAATATTTGATCTATTGAACTAACCCCTCATATAGTTCATTTCTGAAAATTACAGCAAAAACCAATGATGTACATGTACATTCCCTTTAAAACTGCAGCTTCGGCTCGTAACTATAATACGCTAGGCAAAGAATAGCTGCCGCGTCAGTTGTAAACAGAACGGGGGATTTCAGCCTTTTATCCATGCATGAGTGAAAGACATGTGGATTTCTTGTGACCAAAGCCATGTTAAACATTTGGTTCTAAATTCATCAAAGCATAAACACTGTATACTCAGTGTGTTACCCCCGATAGTGAAACTGAGAAACTATCACTCGGGTGGGACTCAAACCCACGACCTCCTGCTTTCTGGTGCAGACGTCTTACCACTCGACCACCAAGCTTGCCGGTCCAAAATACCCATGCTACCTTTTAGTAAAAAACTTCCCTAAAGAAAGATTTACAAAACAAGTATTAAAACGAGAGGTATTAAATTCACCTATCATCCTTCTTGTCTGCGGTCTAGCTGATTCATTTCACTTTGTAAAAGTATAAAATCAGTTATTCCATTTAACTTTACTTACATGTTCTGAAGTGAAGAGAACTAGATTTGGCGCACCGCTGAGTCCTCTGCGTTTACACGATGGCACGTATTTATGCCTGGCACACATCACGGCGTACAGATTAGAAATAGCGCCACCTATGATAATGAAACAACCACTGGCAATTTTAGATGTTCGCTTGTATACCCACCATGCCACCGTATCCTGTGGTCAACTGGACATGTGCGACATTTTAGAGAATGCATGAATTATGCACAAATGCACATAAATCGGTAAATCTTGTTTTTAAAACTTCAGAACGCGTTAGCACCCTTCCAACGTGGTGTGAAAATAACGTAACCAGGATTTTGTGTTTCTGGCCATTTACACTGCGACGCGGTCTTAGAAAGTCGGGAAACAAAATATTTTGCCGAAAGTTCGTCTTATCATTGACTTAAAATGACGTAACACAAATTAAACTCTTAGGGGCACTCAGGAGAAACCTTGTCTTATTTATACACACTTGCGAACTCATTTCTTAGTTATTATTTGTGAAGTCTGTTTTCAAATGCAGAAGTACAAGTGTAAATGCATTGCTACCGGTCTCAAACGTTTATGCGCATGCTCAGAAACACGTGATTAATAAAATCAACAACGCCTGGCTAATCTGCTGCCGCCTATCGATTCAAACTAATAATTCCCTAGCTCCCTTTTTCCATTTTGTGATCTAGAAAGGCGGAGTTTTGAAGCTCATGCATACTCGTCCAGTGGTGGATATACGGTGGTTAACCCCCCCCCGCCCCTTGGGCCGCAAAAAATAGTAAAATCATGCAGAAACACACTGCAAAGGCATGCTTTAAGCCCCTCTTGGCAGCTAAACCCCCTCTTAATCCAAAACTGGATCCAACCCTGCTCGTCTTACCGGGAGCAAAGATGCCGTCGCCGTCTTTATAGCCGATTATCTCCCGCATCTTCTTGAGAATGGCTCGCTCCATCAGCGTGAACACCGGAGCTATCTCGTAGGTAAACCTGCCAAAAAAAAGAGACCATCCGGCCAGATTCCACAGCTCAGTTGAGCTATAATTACAATAAGTTATTTGAATGGAACCTGCATCTCTTAAAATCGGGATTAGTAAGTACAGTAAAAAAACAATTTTTGAGGTGCAGAATTCACATGAAATGATGATGCAACACCCGAAATTTCAATGAAGATAACGGGCTTCAGCGATTTTACTCCGGGAACCCCATCTTAGGAAAGTAGGATTTTCTTCGTACGATAATAGGCCTACAACTTATCTGCTAATTGCCCCCTTTTTATAGTCAATGTAACCAGTGCAAGCTGGGAAAGGTGATATTTTATTGTGGATGGGTAAAGAGTTGGCAAAGACAATTTGAAGAAACAAGACAATTATTGAAAAAATTTATACGATTTGGCGAATTTTTGAATAATTGTAGTCTGTGTACCACCTTCCCCTTCAAATTTTAGTGGGGAAAGGCCAATCTTTATTTTTATTGAAGAATATGCATGTACCAACAGAGAACAGTTTTTAATATGCTATATTAAAAATAATTCAAAGGATTTTAATCAACTTACATATTAGTATTAGCAGCGGCAGTAAGCCACTCTCCTGCCATTGATATCACATCCAGACCCGTCGATAATTGATTGAAATAGCGCGGATGACCTGCGTAAAGGGAATGAACATAACGAACTTCCAAATTACAATGAATTCCGCCAATGTCTCGAGATCCGCAGCTGGCACTTGACTCATATTTTCTACCTTTTTATAAAACGATCTTAGTTATTTCAAGTACAATCTGATTTCGAGAATAATAAAGATGCAGCGCGTTTCTCTGCAAAACATCTTTGTCGTTTATGGACGCCGGCGAAAGGGTGCGCCCATTCAGATGCGTTTTTCTATAAATGCACACGGAGCCGGCACTTTTAACATAGGCTTGCTTATCTCGAAGGCAAGTCATCTGTGCTAAAAAGGGCGGAAGCTTACGCGCTGACAGTAAGAATATTTTACAAATTACCAAGGAAAGATTACTTTTGCGCATGCATACATCCCAAAAATATGGGCTCAGCGCTTACGGAGTTAGCGCAGATATTTTTTTACGCCAACGCTGAAAAACGGAAAGGTGCAAGGCGTGAAATTCCGAGGTTAGCATTGCTACTTGAGGGCGCAACATACTCCACCCCCACCCCCTAAAAACAATAAGTTGGTAGCCATTAGATTTTGTGCGTCATTGATGGACTCAGGTAGGCCTAATTTTAGGCTCTGAACCATCTTGAATTTACAGCTTCCCTTCCCAGACCAATTTTGGTCTATACCGTCCACACTGCACCGCTTTGCTGCAGCCAGACTTCGAACATAAGCCCATTTCAGGTCTTGTGCCGAATTGAGTGCCCAATACTATAGAAGGAGTCAAAGTTTACTGGGATGCGCGCACATAATGCATTTAGATTAAGAATATCAAGCATGAGTATTCATTTACCGGTGTGAATTTTGAATAAGAATATCAAGCTTGGATATTCATTTACCGGTGTGCATACGCCCTTTAGTCATCAAGAAAATCAAGCTCGGGTCTTCATTTAATACCAGTGTGAAGGCTCTCTATAGAATTAGAATATCATATTCATTTACCTGTGTGAACACAGTACTTGAGCGTGTTCTGACAATCCTGCAGTATCTGGTCTAGGTTCTCAGCCTTGTCAGGGATCTCCAGATGCAGTCGCTCTCTCAGCTCGTTGGGGTGATGAAACTCCAGGATCTTACTGGAACGATCAAAGGTTCCCTGTACGTACTCCAGGATGACTTCTAGAACCTCCTTCAGGAACTTGGTGGTCAGGCCAGCGCCCCCTTTGCAGGGAAGAAGATCTGGGAAGAAATATGTCAAGATACATGATAATTTTGCTATTGAATCACAGGCAATCGACAGGCAAAACAAGCACCTGAGCATGGTTCTTAAATTTGTTTTGCCCAAATTTTAACACAGCTCAAGCCACCTGTTTTTCAAGAGATGTGCATGCATTGCAAAATGAAAGTCGGCATCACGACAAAAAAAATATTTTGTGAAAACCACTTTTTTTATGGAGCTTTCCCAGACCCAATAAGCCGGTAAATAATGCCTGAAACCTTCCTTCCTGGACGAATATTACTGACCACTTGATTCGATGCGGCATTAGAGATGCATTTACCTATAACAGACATAACTACTTCGTAGTGAAATGATTTGGACCTATAAACTACGTGTACTCCATCATCGGTGACTATGGTAAAGAGCACAGATGCTGGAGGACATTTTACCGCCATTGTCGTACTATCGGCTCCTTCGGTTTGTGGGAGGATTTTGTTTTCATAAGAGCTTTCGTCTGCTGTTTTGGTAGTTTTTGTACATATGGTTTCAGTTGATAATTCTGTTAAAGAAAAATTTGAGTAGTTTTGTTTTGTGTATTTTTAGATTAGGTCTACGTCTGTGGAAGGTTTTCGTGACATAATTCTACATTTTAAAGGAATTAATGATTTAGGGCTATAGTGGAAATCAAGTTCACGGAAACTATAGAACCTGGAGCTTTCGGTGGATTGTGATTGTTTCCGGAGATCATGACCAGTTACTGTTTCCAATTGAGTCTTGTTATTTGAACCGGTGCCATTGTCCATTCGTGTCCTGGAATGAAAACTAGCATTTCTTCGAATACAAAATGAGAACCAGTAGGCCTACAGTAGCCTATAGCTGCAGCGCAGTGACCAATTCAGTCAGACGGGAGATTTCGCCCATCGTAAACGGCCATCTGGAACCCGCCTCGCGCGCCTAGCGCTCTTCATTAAATCCCGCAAAACATTTTCATAAGGCCGAATCGATACGAATTAGTGGCGGGGCGCGCGGGGGGACGACCACAGTTGTACAAATACAGGCAGAGATTGATGGTGGAGAATCGAATTATAACGGACTGGTCATAGAGGGTGTCGGATAGCGGGGACTAGTACCGGGGGCAACAGTGTAGGGATACCCCTGACATGATTTCGAGGGTAAATACGAGCAGGTTTAGACAAATATCACCGCGTACTTTCTTGTCTGCGGAATGATAACCTGAGGCAGTAATTTCACTGATTCTCTGTCTGCTCCATTTTCCTTGGAATCACCTCAAAGAGGAAATAAAAACGCGCCAAATTTCAAAGGTTTTTAGAAGAGGATCTTTATACCCAGAGGTTATTTGTGTAATCATTGTGTACTTGCTTTATTACTACAGGAAGCATAAACGGGTTGGACACAGTATGTGCAGCTGCTACTTGCAGTTTGTGGAAATATATTGCCGACTATTTGAAAAATGTTTTGATAAATCTAATTCTGAGTTCAAACAATGTCCACGCTAAATGAATAACTTTATTAAGCGTATACCTCTGGTTCTTTTCAGAACCATTCTCTTAGTTGAGAAATTATTCGCACATGGTGTTTCCGCAAACCTTTCATTATTTAAGCGTATCCATATTGTCTAACTCTTTATGAATATTGTTGTTCCAACACATTAGACCAACCTGAAGGGCTTTAACCCAAACGGGAAAAGACCGAAATCTGTTTGTTTGTTTTTCGGGAGGGATTTCGTCTGATGTATTGCGCACGTTTAAACACCATTTTTTAATGTGGAGGTAGTGTGCTTGCAAAAATATGAAGTATTCGAACACATTGTAGCAAGAGATTAAGATTTATTAATTCAGAGTGCACAAAAAAGAGGTGCTCGTTCAAAGCCCCTTACGTAAATTATCGATTACTAATGAGATATAACCCCTTGATTTGTCCGATTGCACTCAAACGTTGCAGATGAAATAAGCATGGGTGTTAAACTATTGTCTCTTTGCTGTTAGATTGGGAAAAAATCGTTAAATTATTTCAAAGTCATTCATGCGATTCATTACTTCAATGGAGACTATTTTTTTAGATTTTTTTATAAGCATGTTATACCTGTTTCTGCTGTCTGGTTTTTCTGGTGCGGTTCTTGAATTTCTACAAATTTGAGTGAAATTTTACTTCAATTTTGGAGTAATTTTACTTAGATATTTTTTTTTAAGTATTAACTTTTTATTATTATTATATAACCCCTTGATTTGTCCGATTGCACTCAAACGTTGCAGATGAAATAAGCATGGGTGTTAAACTATTGTCTCTTTGCTATTAGATTGAAAAAAAAAATCGTTAAATTATTTCAAAGTCATTCATGCGATTCATTACTTCAATGGAGACATGTTTTTTAGATTTTTTTATTAGCATGTTATACCTGTTTCTGCTGTCTGGTTTTTCTGGTGCGGTTCTTGAATTTCTACAAATTTGAGTGAAATTTTAATTCAATTTTGGAGTAATTTTACTTAGATATTTTTTTTGAATTATTAACTTTTTATTATTATTATAATTAATTATTTATTTATTTATTTTTATCTTTTTTTTCTTTTTTTTCTCTTTTTTTTTTTTTTTTTGGGGGGGGGATTATCAGCCACTCTGATAAGGTTCCTACCTGCAGCGAATGGCGTGCTTCGCAAGGCCCACCAACTCATGAAGGTCTGTTGCAACCAATAAGTTTTCATTACGTTGTCTGTAGCAAAACAAAAGGGGGTCGGGAAAGCAAAATGGCGGGAAAATAGAAAGTCGAAAAATGCAACTTTATAAGATTTTGATGCCAAGACACTGTATGAATGGAGTTTGTACTTATTGAATTACCTCAGAAAGTTGTCTATCAGTGACTAGATTTGATGGGCTCATTCAAGCTGCAAATGGGTCGTTTGAAACTGTATGGCCTTGCGAAGCACGCCTAAGTGAAAAAGGGGTGACATGTCACCCCACCCCTCCCCTTAGAGTTTTGGAGACGAATTGTTCTGTTAGTAAAACATCACCCTCTCCCGTCCAACTGTTCAGATATAGGATTATAGCTATACCAACCGAATTAGCATAGAGGAGCGGATTCCGTTTTACAAAGATTTAGCACGAAACAGGGTCAGAGTAACATGTGTATTTTTAACATAACTTTAGAGTATAGGAAATAGTGGTTGGTAACATTTTGTCTCGGAAATATATTATTACATTGCTGTAGATATACGTATTGCGAACAAAATTGTCAATCTAAAATTAAAAGGAGTATGATGCAAAATAAGTACATGTCAAATTCTTTGGTTGTTTTTATTTAATGTACCTGTGATGTGCATTCCTTTCTGATGTGGAGCCTCATTTTGAGGTTTACATTTTGAAGCTGACATGCATGCTCGAGATGCTGATAGCAGATTTTAAGACTGGTTTTAATACTACACACAAATGTTAGCTGATTAAAAGTATACAATTATTTATGAATTGTGTAAAGATTTCTGCTATGACGTTGGACAGGTCGAGATACAAAACAAATAGTCCAAATACCTTTAGCGCGGAATTCATAGAAGTCTGGGTGATCTTCCTCGGAGTCTTGCTGTCGCAGGTTCTTCTTAGGCACCAGGAGTTGGCCTTCGCTGACGGTACGGTCAACCAGCCGAGGCCGGTCACCGATGACGCGCCGTCTGGGTGCCGGTGGATTGCCCACATTCTTCCCCTGGTTGGGCCGGTTGTTGGTAGTGCTGGTCAGGTTGTCCGAGACGTCTTGGTTCTCCCGCTGTTCGGTGTTGTTCTCAGTCTGAAGGAGCTCCGCTTCCTCAGATACCGTCTCGATGAGGTTGGTGTCGCTGATCATGGTTTCCTTCGAATCCAAATGCTTGGTAACTTAACTGCTAAGCTAGAATTACCCGCGATATTTAGAAGCAAGCGATTTCGATAGCAAGTGATTTCGGCACAGTCGTGTCGATCTCGAGTCTCCTTTGAAGTCGGTGATGATAAACTGATGACAATTCAGGATTTTGAGCTTGCTTTCTAAAGGAATTTCAGACAACTTGTCTGCAACCGACTCTTTGAGGTCCACAAGTTTGTCTGTTCACAGGCTGAGTGTTCGGAACTCTCTCGTTCAAATATCGCGAGAATCGTGCCTGCTCGTTTCAGAGCTGTCGCATTCATAACTCGGGTCTTTGTCGAAATCGGCGAGAGTATAACTAGTCAAAATTGTGGCCGCAAAAAATAAAGTCGAAGTTCCAACAACACGGTTTCTACGTCGTGTGGGATACGATTTCTTGTGCGACAACACGTTGAGCGTGAATTTAGGTTTCACATTTACTCCCTGAACATCACTGACCGATATTTTGATTTTCTCGTTGATGTAGGATCTCCGCTCACAATGCATGCACAGAAGCAGCGGTTGTGTACTACTGTACCAGCAGAACACCTGTTTCTGCGTCGACTATCACCGTCCTGTCATTTCTACCGATCCTCGCGACGCGTTCTCCCGTGAAACCTAGCCCGTCAGATCCGCCCAAGCTGATAATTGAAATCCGTGACACATTCGGCTCTCTGATTGGTGGAAGATGCGCGTGCGCCGGAATGAAAACGAGGCAGGTAGAATGTTTGAACAGATGTAGAAATAAAGTCCCACTGGCTTTCTCTTATTCGATAAAAAATGTTGTCTTGAGTTTATCGATCGTCCTCGATGACATGGTAACAGAAGCAGTTAGCATATACGAAATATTGTTGCTGAATTTATTTTACATTCTCAGATGCTTGCCACGCAGATATACCTCTCTCTGGCTTGGATTAATTGCAGGTTCATCTAAATAATTGATTAATTGATATGCAGGCCTACACTTGAAACTATTTCCCTCCACATTTTAGTAGAGAGAAGTACTGCTTATGTTTCTCTTTTCTTTTCCCTTTTTTTTCGATGTAACGGACTTGGGTCGACTCTGAATCCTCAACTTAAAGGTCTGCCCAGGAAAGTGTGATAATTCCTGGCGGTTATTGCATCAAGAATGGGACTAGCAATGCGAACTCTCTGGACCTTTCAGCAGCTGGCCGTAAATGAAATACAGCAGGGCAGTGGTAAATGCCGCACCTGTGTGTGCATGATTAGGAGACCGATCAGATGTGATTTTAAATGCATCTGATTCTGGCTTGCTGTTGCAACTTCTTCATCCTCAGCATTGTTCATGCTGTCGTCTTCGTCGTCCTCATCACCACAGTATGGGCCTTATTCACGAGTCGGCCATATTGAATTGAAAGTTAGGTACAATCTTAAATTTTTGGAACTTGCGAAGAGAAATGAAAGTAAGTTAATTTATAATAAATTCCAGTCTGCTTCAATGAATAATTTAAAATTTGTAATTAAACATTCCTTAAGCCGTATTTAAAAAAAAAAAAATGACAGTAAAATAAGGCTGCATTGTGCCTGCATAAATAGTCTGGCGCCATACCATTCAATAGTTAACAATTAATGAAACACATTCAGGGAATTCGAACGAAATGGCCAACTCGTGAGTAAGGCCCATATAATGTGGCTCGAATACTGGACTTCCGCCGTATTGTTAGCCAGACATCAATGTATTCCAAATTTCCTGAAATGTTGTGTTTCCCGAATCTGAAATCTAGACTGGTTTTTTTTAACTTGATATTCACTATTATATGGAATATACTTACTGGTAAATAACCAGGGAAAAAGTGAGTTTCGTACCTTTATATAACATCTAGTTTTTCCTTTTTATAATGTTCAGATGAAACTTGGAGAGAGTTTGTCCCGAAAGGACTGCAGTATTTTTTCGAGGTTATTGGACATGTGCCTTTGACCTTTTGATTTGCCTTGATTGTTAACAAGGTAAGATGCTTCCATAGCGAACAGTGGGGAAAATTCAATTTAAGGAAACACATCTTTTTCAGGAAATTTTGCATGCATTGGTGTGTGGCTCTTATACGAAGGAAGTCCAGTATATGAGACACATTTTATGGGGGCTACACCACCGCCACCATCAACATCACACTTACTATCACCACTTGTCGTCATTGTCGTCGTCAATGTTGTCTCTGCCGTCGTTGGCACCTTAGTTATTTTGCCGTCAACAGTTAATATTACCGTCGTCCCTCCAAATTGCTAATTTATACTGTTGGAAAATGTCATTCTGAATCATGCAATTCCAATGAGTCAAAAATCAGGAAACCCAAATGTCAGGACCTTGTCAAGATTTTAAACACGAACACTGTTTTTAACATCTGTCCACGGATCACAAAACAAGGTAAGTGTCCTTTCAGCAAACCGAAAATAATTCACGTCTATATGTGAATTGTTTTCGTTTTGTGAAAGAACTCTTATCTTTTTTTGTGATCCGTGGACAAAACTGTAAAACGGTGTCTGTGATCAAAATTCCGTAACTTAAAAAGTACATAAGTGATTCGAATGATTTTTGTACTAAAAGAAAGCTTATGAATGGGGCTTTCATATCCTAGATTTGGAAAGTGCTACATGCAGAACTTCATTAAATAACTGCCATTTGTGTGTGTGTTGTTGTTTTTTTATTGACTCACAAAATGACCTTGTATAATGAAATCTCATGAGAACATAATTCAGTCGTCAGCCAGAATACGAACTCCCTTCCACATTTGAATATAGTTCCCTTAAGCCTGCAGCAGATGTCCGGGTTTTTTTGTGGGTTTTTTTTAGATGTGCAGATTTGTTGATACTTCACCTAAACGCGAGTGCGCAGCTAATTGAACGTCATGAAGCATTTCCGGAGAAATTTGCCTGAGTTTGTGTTATAAGTTATGAGATGTGGCATCACAAAATCATTCGCAGTATGAACCGGCCGTCGTATCCAATGCCATTACATAGCTTCAATGGCTGTTCTGTACAAAGGTTCTCTTACTTCACTGTATGTTAATGGCATTACAATTGTTAATAAACGGAGGATTATAAAATGATTACACCTGTTGAATTTAAAACGAACTGTTTATAACAAACGGCGATCATGCATGACGTATTTATATATGGCGGGTTACTTTTGCCCATCATCGTGTGCACAATACACAATCAACGTTTAATTCATTGCATTCAACATGATCGTCGTCTGTAATTATCTTAATTAAAACCAACTCTACAAGTCTCCATTCATATGAATTGTTCCTTGTGAAAACCCTAGGCCTCAACGTGGGTTAAGTAAGTGTAAGGAGTCCTAACTTATAAACAGCACTGTGGCGATACATTTATGACGGTTCCCCGTTTGGATAAAAATGATTGGGCACATTTCCAATCATTCATTTTTTATCTACATGATGTTGTCTGATTGTTATTACAGAAAGGAGGAAGATTCTTTTTCTCACATTTTCTCTACATTCATTTATATGTTATATGACAACAAAATCCCCCCCCCCCCGCCTCAACTTGAATTGAACACACACACACACCCCCTAGCATTTCTCAGTTCGGTCACAGGCCTCCGGAAAGTTCTTTATCCACTCAATTGACACGACAGGAATCGATTCTTTGGGGCGCAGATTTGCCACATAAATGCACCCAGGCCTCGTCCGCATCGACCGGCTTCGGCAAATCCCACTCCATCACTTGATTAGCGATGAAAGCTTTCTTAGATGCAACATCCTATTCTTCAAACACTTTCGTACCGCATCGGGGTTTTTTGTGTGTGTTTTTGGTTTTTTGGGGGGAGGGAGTTGCGAGACAAACAAGTATAGTGTTTTGCTAATATTGGCAACAAGACGTCACTGTTTTGGGCGATGTTGCTGACCCCCCCCCCCCCCCCCCCACATCACTGGCACCCTTTGGGAATTGTCTTTGTTCTTCTTTGTACGTTTCATTAACGTGTTTGTTTGGTTGGGTTTTTTTTGGTTAAAATTCCACGCAGCTTTTCTTTCAAACATTTGACAACACTGAACAAAATAGACCCTTTCATAAAATTGGTCACTGCTCAGTCAACCGTTAATGTAAGGACATGATCAGGGTGTCATTTTAAAGAGAAGATTCAACCCTAGCAGAGGATATCTCCCTTTGATGCACTTGTGCCCTACTTCTGTTCCAATTAGCAATAATATCTCGGTTTCGTTTTTTTAAACGAAGAAAAAACACATATGCGCATCACAGAGAATGAAAAAAAGACCATGGAAATTGCAGTTGTGCAGTATAAGCACAGATGGCGAAGCTCTCCCAAATTAAAATGTCTAATTCAGCTCTGATCATTGTATTTTGTGCATATTCATAGTATAAACTCATAAAAATTAAATGGCATTTTATATCTCCTTTTTTTATCCGTTTTCCGCCTTATGGTGAAAACGGTTGTTATTGAATTGGATTCCAAACGGATTTTTAGTTTCTATGTTTCAGTTTTGCTTGTCCAACAGGGCCTACCTATTTTTAATTTTTAATCTCGATGGGATTGAAATTCATCCTTCCCCCTCGGTCAGAAACTTAGATGTTGTTTTTGACCATGACAGGAAAATGTCTGATCACATCACACGACGTTGTCGCTCTCTCAACTGGCATATCCGCAGCCTTAGCCGCATCAGGACATCTCTTGACTTTAATGCTTGCAGACAATGCTGTCCGTATCCTGATTTCTGACTACTGCTGCTGTCTGCTAAACGGTGTCTCTAAGCCTAAAGGCTTCTGAGACTTCAATGCAGATGTGTTGCAGGCTTCTCTTTCAGAAGCCCAAACACACCTATACCTCTCCAGGCCTCTGCTCAAACATCTGGCTCCCATTGCCGCCCCCTGTTCAGTTCCGCCCCTTGGTTCTGCCCCTTGGTTCACACTTGCAAATCACTAAAACACTCTGCACCAGATTATCGCACCTCTCTTCTCACAATCCAGATCTGTTCTTACTCCCTTCGTTCTTTTGCTCGAGAGTCCCTTGTCGTCCAGGGCCTTCTCCATTGCCGCCCTCCGGCCATGGAATAGCCTACTCATCCCCATCAGAAATTCAAGCAGTGTCTTGTCCTTCAAAAAGGCTCTCAAGACCCATCTTTTCCCCAAATCGTAGCTGGCTGTCCTCTTTTCTTCGTCTTCTTTACCTTTTTCATTTCTTTGTTATAGCGCCGTGTATCCTTTGGCATTTTTTTCACTGACAGACTCCTACAGAGTATCATTCGTTAGCCGGGCAGTGCAGTTGTATGGGGCCACGCAACGCCTATAAATTTGGTTAAATCCGGCCTTCTGTTTGTGACCATAAAGTGACTTCCTGTAAATGGCCACTTGGGATCACAGGTAGAACCATCGGTCCATTTTCCATTGTTTGCGTCATATTGAGCATGCGCGCGTTTGCTTAAGCATGACGTAAACAATATTGAAGAGGACCGATGTGTTTGCTGCCACCAACGTCTCAAAAAGTCTCCCATTGAAGAGAAGTCGGTGCACTCTGGGACCAGCTTTACCACACTTGTTTTTGTTTTGTATTTTTCTAAAAGGGAGCTAACATCGCATCAGAAAATTACATCAAAATGATAC